AGTGAGTGCAGCCACCACCGACCCAGCACAGGGAGGTGTATGAGGTATTCAAGCTCGGCGCCTCAAAAGCAGAGCCTGAAGGCAGCAAGTGCAGTTGGTGCAAGCTGTAGATGAGCAGATCCTCAATTTGAGGCTATTTTGCCAAATCAAGACTTATCAGAATAAATAATCCACCCAAAAATCTCAGAATCGAGCAGGAACAGGAACAGGCAGTGGTGAACCCAAGGTATGTGTATCTCTAATCTATGGCTAGGGAAAAGAATGAGGATCTGCTTAACCTTAAGGATAAAACAGCTTTTGGAACAACCTCTCCTCTACCATTTCCATTCTATGCTCTGCATCTTATCTTAGAAAATATCACTCCTTGCAGCAAATAATCCAGAGGCTCCCTCCTCTCTTTAAAAATCAAGCAGCAATTTTATCTCAAAGCAGTTGCTAATAAACAGCTGCCACAGTGTGTCATGAGAAACCACAGTAAAACAGTTGCACTACCCTGTAACGCAGCACCCAACATGCCAAAGTGTTCTACAGGCCGCTTGCTTGCCTGGAAAACACCTCGGCTTCGTGATAGGAAGGTTTAACCCCCATTCCGCAGCCACAAAATAAGTGGACACTTGATCAAGATGGAACAGGAAAGGAAACAGTTTTATCTGGGATAAATCTGGCAGGTCATGCAATTCATTAACTTCATTTAATTCCCCCATGAACGAGCTTTTCCAGTGTTGTATCATCATTATGGGTAAAATTATTCATTCCCAGTTTACACATAAATGACCTCAGCAACATCTGGGGTAAAGTTAAAACCCTCTTATGCAAGCTCCCAGCCAAACGTGTTCTGCTTTACCAAATAAAGCAGAAAGAGTTCCCTCTTGTCTGTATCAGGTCCCATAAATCAAAACCACACCGTAATCAACAGTGCACAGCACCACGGCAGGAACAGAATCACAAGAGGTCAGCTCGTGGCTCTAACCCCTGCATCATGTTTTGTTTTAAGGACAAAAATAATAGAGGCATCACAGTGAACACGGAGCTCGCCGAGGACATACTCGGACAATAACTGTGCAATTTCCTGGTCCAGAGCAAGGTCTTTTTGTTTCAGCTCTTCAATTTCATATTGGAGGGATTCTTCGTTGGCTCCATGAGGTTGGCAGGACCTTGGAGATGGGATCTGTAGAGCACAGAAGATACTTAGCACTAACTCAGCCCTGGATAAGATGCTGGGCACTAGATGGAGGGCACTAATCAGAGAATACTTGATAAGTTACAGGATAAAAGAGGTTAAAAAAGAAAAGGAAAAAACCTACCTCCTGGGTGGGGAGTGGAGGGAAACTGGTAAAACATTTCTCAGTTTATGCAGTGCTCGCCTGCCCCACGTCATAGTCACAGAGTCACAGCCTGGTTTGGGTTGAAGGCACCTTAAAG